TCGTGGCAACGTCGCGGCGTGGGTGGGAGAAGCTGACTGGCGCGGCTCGGTACTCGAAGTCTCGTGGGTCTAAGTGCAATACTTTGCGTATTTTATCCGTTCGAGCTCGTCCAACCTTCGAATTTGGTTCCGTTTTCTCCCGTGTGTTGCCAACGAGACATTCTATTAAATATCTTCACGTGGTCCATTTATCACGAAAAACAAATCTTCCCAAATCCTATAACCTGCACACGAAAAACGACACACAACCGAAAAACGGCCAAGAAAATACCAGAAAAACCGAAATAAAGCAAAACACGAAATAAACCATAAAATAAACTAAAACTCAATTAAACGACCTAAAATGGGGGAAAATGAAATAAAAAACAACCAGGAAAAACGCAACAAAATTGGGACAAACAATCGTCGAGCTCGGTTATACGCGTTCTTCAGCTGACGACCCTCACTCGCGTCACAGTGGTACAACACCTGTTCTTTACTTTGCTTTTTTAGTGTTTTCATTTGATTCTATTGAGGTTCTAGGCCATCTTGTTGATGTGCCTCTCATGTTGTTCTTATTTAATATGGATTGTGTATTCAAACTTTGTTCGCTTTTAATCAATAGATCTATCCATCGTTCCAGAAAAAAAAAAAAAGATTGATGGAAGACAATAATGTACGGTGGAAAAATTATTTATGCAAAATGACGGGAATTAACACGACCTTTACGTGTTTGGCAATTTAATCATGAATTTTAAACCTTGGCAAATAAATACACGACCTTTACATTTTTGGAAAAATGGTACATGCTTTTAACGGCCGTTAACAGAAATCTGATGTAGCGAAGGTGTATCCGAGTCAGTGACCGGATATCGTGAATATATCGTGGTAACTTGAATTTATCACGATATATTGAATATATCGCGAGAAATTGGAAAAACAAATATACTGATCCTAGGGATTGAACTTGTGACCTCATGGGAGCAAGAAATACATGCAACTAATACACCACTCAAGGTTAAGTGTTAGTTCTAGTACAGGTTAATATATATGGATATTACATATGGATGAATTAAACTAAATTGAGAAGATAAATTAAAATATAATAAATTAAATTTTATGACATTAAACTAAAAAAAAAAATAAAATAACTTATTATGTTAAACGAAAACAGAATAATTAAAATACATTATAAAAAAATATAAAATAATATAGTTAAAATAATATAATATAATATATATAATATATTATATAATATAATATA